CCCCAAAACCCCAAAACCCCAAAACCCCATAAGATTTATTCTATGCATGATATCGATTAATGAAATTAAGATTAAATCTTATTTTTTGATTTTCCCAATCACTTCCCTTTAACAGCAGACAAGATGATTGGAACATTAATTTCTGTAGATAAACTTTTAGGTGGTTTTCTTTTATAATGTTCTTCTTTCTTAAATTTGAATTCCAATTCTGAAATAAAGATTGGAATAACTAACTTAGCTATATTTTCAGCAAATGTCTTCCCCAAGCATATTCTTCTTCCACCTAAGAAGGGTGCAAAACTATGAGATTTCCTTTTACGACCATCTGGAGTCAGATAAAATGTACTTTAAGGATCGAATCTTTCAGGTATAAATTTATCTGGATTCTACCACTCTTTTGGATTTCTGTGAAGCAAGAATAAATGAACAAGGATGGGAGTCTCTGTGTCAATATTGTAGCCACAGATATTCATGCTTTCTCTCAATTACATTGGGACTGAAGATCTGACTGGGGGCTCTATTCTTAAAGATTCTTGTATTACTAGATATAAATATTTCCAACCTTCTTAGAGCTGATCATATCCAAGTTTATCAATCCATTGCTCTACTGAGATATTGATATTTTCAATATTTATTAAATCTTGATCATTTGACGTGAATACTTTGCTTAACTCATTTCTTAATTTCACTTTGACATCTGGAAGCTACTCATAGTAGTACAAAGTATTAGTAATTAAAGTTGCAGTTGTCTAAGTAGATGCCAGCATAAATGTACTAATCTCATCTTTCATCAATTCGTCATCTTATTAGTAAAGGTCGTCACTCAATAATAGTGTAAGGAAATCAGCACTATAATGGTTAGGGTCTTTCATCTGCTCTTTTCTCTCTTCAATTAGCTTTTGCAAGAAAACTCTGTAGTTTTGAAGATTCTTTAAAAGATCTTACTCTTCTTTTCCAATATAATATCTATCAAATAGCTAAGTCAGCTATCTGAGAGGTGTAATCTATTTCCTGATCATTTTGAAAAATAGCTTTCCTACACAAATGCCAAGGGATAACTCCTCTTCTCCATTACCAGTTTGAAATTGTAAGGATTGTTTGAGTTAGGTTTCTCCGAATACACTCGTCATAATGCAACTTGTAACATGATCATTAACAAGCTTATTTAACTCTTTCTCTGATTTTCCATCCTTAATATCTTATTTTAATTTTTGAGTCCAATCATAGGTCTTTTTAACAAGAATCTAGAGTATTTGTGTCATCTTGTCTTTATAGAATGCTGCTGATAGTCTTTTGCGTTTCATTGACTGCTCTTCTGTAGATTTCTCAAGCAGGATTGACCTTCCAATCAATTTTTCCATTATAGTCCTTGCTCGATGTTACTTGTCAACAAACTTAGACTTAGTTACAAATAATTCTTATAGTATATCGGGATCACTAACCACAAGCTAACCTCCAGCTGCTAAGAAATCAACAAAGATAGAAGGTATTTCCTTCCCCTGACTTTCAAAATATCCTTTGTAATATGTGTACATTATTTGTTCTGAATACTCATCTATTATTTTCATCGTCTTTACTATCTCTAATGCATTTCCTATCAAGGGAAGAGGAAATTTAGTAGTTGCGATTCCTTGCCTTGAAAAATACCAATACTTGTAATACATCTTGATTACTTTCTCCCATAGAAGATATAGGATAAGAAGACTGAAAATCACAGTTAAAATCATAGTTTAATATTTGCTAAAATTAAAACTTATCACTATCACTATGCCAGGATAGCAATTACAACAATATCAAATATAGATTCATAATCTCAGATCAAATCATATTTCACATTTTACTGATTGATGGGGTTTTGGGGTTTTGGGGTTTTGGGGTTTTGGGGTTTTGGGG